TTCTGCAATAAAGCAGCCACCTTTTCTCGCTTTAATTTGTTGGACGCCTGAAGCGAATTCCTATGCCCGCACTTTCTGGTCAATGAACCAAATTATTTCCAGTCGGGAACATATAATAGAGCTTTAATGACTATAACAATAAATGCTCATTGAAGCGTTCCTGAAAAAGTCATCACCGTGACCAGATTTAATAATAACTACTTATTAACCGAGAGTGAGGTCTTTACAGGAAAATCTAGAGCTGCGACCTTGCCGAATTGTCCGAGCAACAGCGAAGTCAATACAGCAGGGCCGAGGTTTGAAATTTTCCCGCAAAGAACGAACGTTCGAGGTTAAAAAGTAATTTATTATCTTGGCTATTTGCTTTGTTTTTGCAGGCCCGTAATCGCCCCTTGGGCATTACGGGAGAATAATGCCCTCGAATTAGCCAATCAGGGCGCGCTCTTTATCGGCTACAAACACATTAAGCCTTGTCATAATTGACGGTTATTCCATGCTCGCGCGTTGGATATGAGATGATAAATTAACCTCCTTCTCCTTGTGGGCGAAGAAGAACTGGGAATGAGGTTAATGATAGATAGCCAATGAGGTGGGTGAACCAAGATCTCGTTCCCAGGGTCTCTCTTCTTCCCGACCCCTCGATCTCGTATACAGGCTGAGCGCCGATAAGCAACAGTTCGTGTGTCAATGCCTGCAATGTGAACCGAGAAATAAGGTCCTTATTATGTAGCAGACTGCATAGCTTTCAATGGGTTGGGTAGGTTGTCTTTTTTGGTACATATTCAACCAGATGGCTCGATTGGGTTTTCTTATCGTCTGCTACGCCGGAACCAAAAAAGATAACAACAAACGAAAAAAAAAAACATTAAACAAACAAACAAACAAGCAAAAACCTTAGTAGTTAGTTCATGCGAGATATAGATTGTTTGCCTGCGTTGTTAATTTAATTTCCTTAATATAAATATTTTTAGATGATAATACTAATTGTTATGTGGCTATCTCCACCAGCGGGCAAG